TGCATGGCATAGAGGTGTGTCAGCACACGAACTGATACATGCTGTTCATTGCAGTACAATCTTTGCAATCGGATCCTGTCTCACCAGGTGCTCGAACCAAGCTAACTTGTAACGTTTCACCACTTCCTGTGGGTTGTAGTCGCTTCTTGTGCAGTGCTAGTCAGCTTGCACGTCAATCATTCGTTCTGTATTCATTATATCATTGTAAGATAATATCTTTCAGGTTTTAAGGCACAGTTTTTAACCAATATAGCACATTCTGGTCAAACGAATAAGACAAATCGTCTTCTCCTCCGTTGCTCCAGCGACAATCTTCAGGGTTACCCGTAAATAGTGCACTCGTGCAGCCGTAAAACAAACTCATGACCTTCAGAGCGCGAGGCAAACGACCTGACCACCTTGCTACGGAGACCCAAATATCTCCCCCCCCCCCCGCCTAAAAACCTCCGCCCCCCCCCCCCTGAAAAGAGTGAGTCTAACAGACTTGACCGCTTTTTTACGGAGACCCAAACTGCCCCCTGAACAAAATGAGTCCAAGAAACGAACAGACCACCTTCAGAGCGCCTGGGAAACGGCTTAGCCACAATGACTCGCCCCAGGTTGGGTACAGTCGGAATCGCACTTGAAATAACAGTTAGCCATTGCCAGTTTTCTTTCACGGTTAAGACATTGCTTTGTGTCGGATAAGACAAAATGACTGTACATCCATAAATCACTCAGGGACATCTCTCTGGCACACTCAGCTCCGTCACGTCCCCGGGTTGTCTGTAGCTCACTGCAGTGATTGCTATTAAGAAACCAATTCACAATTGACACCACGCCGAGACCAGCTCAATGGACGCCGCAGGCCGTGGCCCAGTGGGACAGTCTTCATGACACTGTCAACTTCTCATAAATGCCACTCGAGTTTGTTCTTCAGGGTGGATGGAACCATAAAAAAGTGCCAAACCTGGGAGGGGGGAAACCCCTTGACAATAGGATGACGACTTTCTGGCTAGTCTGGAAATATTTTCTCCCATGTGGTCCACCGCCTTTTAAGCGCTAAACTTTATTTTTATAGACCACATAGCTCACAGATAAGTGTAGTTTGTTCTTCAGGGTGGATGGAACAGTAGTGGAGCGGTGATTAAATAAAGGTTAGTGCTTACTGAAATGGACAGAAAGACGACTGCAGGAGATCTCCTCCCTGAACAACGCTCATTCCCTGTCATCACCGTCCAAGAACTTTTCGGGCCCGCATCGGCCTCATCAGTCATCTTCGTACTCATACTTGATGAAAAAGAGTGGTCATCATCATCTTGATGGACAACACACACACACATAATATCAATTTATGAAACAACGTATGATCCCATAAAGCCGTCGAGGCTTCCTGATTCCCTCGAAGGTGGAAGTTAGGCCACCAAAAGGTTAGTTGCGTATCCTTTACAGGACGTTGCAGAACCAACCCTAACAGCCCCTGGCTGTTGTGTGGTTTCTCTAGGCAAACTTACGTCCAGTAGTTTGCCATTGCTTACTGAACGGTCGGCCCGCTGATACCACTGTCGAAACCAACGCATGGCGCATGGCCCGCAGCTGGGATCGAACCCGATAGCGTTTGTATCGACTTAGCCACAGAGCCTACTAGGCCACCAAGCGGACTGGTAACCGCGAAGCCAATCCCTCACCCCCACCCCCCAATCCTCACCGGGCCCTTTTAACTGTTGGTTGTTTTATTCAAAATAATAATGGTTATGACTAATACAAACTTGTAACCAAACATCAATCTAAGAAGTTATAATTACAGCACTTAACGGCTTCAAGAATGCCCTGGTACTATCTGCCACAGCAAGCCACACTTAAACGTTACAACGGGTATAGAGCGAGTGGAAGACCTCGGAAAAAATGGAGTCATGGCATTAAGAACAGCCTTACAGAAATGAACATCAGTCTTAATAGTGACAGAGCTCATCGACGAACATTACATCTCCCCCCGACACTTCGATGAGGTACAAGGTGGAAGAGAAGAAGAAGAAGAAGAAAAAGAAGAAGAAGAAGAAGAAGAAGAAGAAGAAGAAGAAGAAGAAGAAGAAGAAGAAGAAGAAGAAGAAGAAGAAGGAGAACGGCTTCAGGTTCTACCCTGATTTGACCTACTTGGCTGGCAGACGTGTAAAACTGTGATGGACAATCTTTCATTCTGACCCCCCCCCCCCTTTCCCCACCCCCTTCCTTATGGTACCAGGAAGGACGTGCAAGGGTCGACCCGAACGAAAATGGGCACAGGATATAAATTACACCTTGGCTAAGAAAGTGCTCGAAGCAGGAGGAATGGAGAGAGACCGAGTTTCTTTCAGACAAACCGTAATCAGAACGTCGTTCTGATCTCAATTCTTTAAAAAAAAAAAAAAGGAAAATACTCCAAAAAATTGCCTCAAAATAACAATTTTTTTTCGTTCTATCTGGATTCAGTCGGTAAATTGTCAATCTAACAGCGAGCATATTACCTTCTAACCACTCCATTTCCAAAGAGAAGGTGATACGCCAAGGAGCTTTCCTTGTTGAGTTTCACGTACGTGAAGATGTGACCAAACAAACAATGGGCAGTAACCTGGATACCGCTGTGATTACAGGATCCAGAAAGTGGCTTGCAGTTATGGCGGCGTGCTGGCAGTTTTATGTGGCCGTTTGAATTTCGTTGGCCGCAGTTTCGAGGCAATTGGGAATGCCAATGTTTAGGACTTTGCATAAACCGCTAGAACACAGCTAACAGAATACTGGGTAATGGGGCGGCAAAACCGTTAGAACACAGCTAACAGAATACTGAATAATTGGGGGACAACACAGTTAGAATACAGCTAACAGAATACTGGGTAATGGGGAGGGGGAACCAAACCCTTAGAACACAGCTAACAGAATACTGGATAATGGAGGGACCAAACTGCTAAAGCACAGTTAACAGAATACTGGGTACGGCGGCACCAAACCGCTAGAACACATCACACATAATACTGGATAATTGGGGGGGGGGGCGCTAAATCGTTAGAACACAGCAAACAGAATACTGGATAATGGGGGGGGGGGGCAAACCGCTGGAACACAGCTAACAGAATACTGGGTACTGCAATCCGCCGTGGCGCTTGGTATGGCTAAAATATTTCTGAGACATCTCTTCCCCACTCATAAATTATAAATTAGCAAAACAGCAAGCAAATCAAACGATGAGGCCTCGTGAAGGAAAACAGAACAACTGTCATTGATCATCAAACAGAAATACAAACACATCAAGTCATCTTCATAAATAAGACCATGCCAAGGGAGAGTAAATAAAACAGCAATGAAGAGAGACCGGCTGGCGAGGGGAGCTTGTATTAATGTGACATATTTATTCCCCTCCAAGCCGTTTATGCTGACACGCCAATAATATTGCTCCTGGGCAGAGCGCGGTCACTGTAGGCACTGGGGCGTTTTTTGAGGGACTGCTGGGCACGGAGAGAACGGCTGGGGTGGGGGAAGGGGGTGTGGGCGGGGGGAGGCTTAAACATTTCTAGGCAGGGGTACAAATAGTATTATTTTAGTTTTATAAGTGAAAAAGTAATTTTTTTTTTTGGTAATATCTAGAAGCCAGGAGTTGGTAACTCTTTGGCTAGGTACTATGGATATCGCAACCCTTCGGCTTGGTTCCATGATGAGTATTGTAAATCTGCGACAAATGTGGCTTTTCTGCCTACCCCCGGGCTTGAACCCGGACCACACAGAGTTCGTCACCTGGTCGCTACGCAGAGGGTTTTAACCAACTGCGCTAACGAGCCGGGCTATAATCATAATAATAATAGTAATATAATAATAATAGTTCGGTCCCCATGTGGATTTCGTTGCCCTATTGTAGGAAAATAAGAACAGACTACCCTCCCCTTCCCACAATTTTTCCAACAAGCATGTGGTAAGAGTCGACTTATAGTGGGTATTGCCTTCGAAGTCTGGGTGCATCTGCATGAGAGACGAGGAGCCAACAGTCTGCATACAAATAAGCTTCATCTGTAAAACGAATACGCACACAAATCTCAAGTTCTGGAACAATGCTAAAGACCACAAATGGACGAATGACGAGAGCCTGCGGATGGAGGAGCTCACAGTTAGCGAACTCAAAAATGAAAAAGGAGGTCTCTGGTAAATTGTCTGGCCCATCATTAACTCCTACCCCAAAGAATCTTTCATGAGATATATCTATTTTGTCCAGGCACCAACTGTTGCAAGTTTATTTTTTTTTTTCCCGCTAGCTGATGTTTCAGCTGTGCGAAACCACTTGACAGCCAGGTCGACCTAGCCTTAAGTGGGTGCCAGATAGAAGTGATGATGACCCCGTTACCCACAAAGTTCCGATTTGTCTATAAAATATCAATCAATCGGTGCCGTCTCCACAATGAAGGTTGGCTGCAAAGGATCTCCAACAAGCCCTGTCTCTTGCCCTTGATGTACACTCATTCATTCTGCTGTTCGTCCATCTCTTGATGTTTTCCACCCACCTGTAACGCTGTCTGCCTCTTGCTCGCCTACCTTGAACCTTTTCCTCTAGGATGATCTTTACAATAATGTTATGTCTTTTAATGTGGCCAAAATATTTCACTTGTCTCTTTTTTTTTTCACCTAGCAACTCTCTTTTCCTTCCCAATTTCCTGAGTACCTCTGTATTTGATAGCTTTTGTTTCCATGAAATACGACCTAATCTGAATTATCCACATCTCCAAAGAATTGATACGATTTTCCAGTTGTTTGTTCATTGTCTATGTCTATGTGCCATACAGTAAGGTTGAGAATACATAACATTTGAGAATTCTCATTTTTAACGTATTGCTTATTTCTCTTGATGTCAGTAACTTTTGCATGTTGTTGAAAATGTTTTTGACCATCCCTATTCTTTTCTTGACTATACAATATAGGTCTAGCGCTATATGCCCAAAACGCGTGAATGCGAGGAAAAGGGTCCTTTACTTAATTTAATGTAATTTTGTTTTCTTTTTCAGGTGTTTTCTCCGGCTGGTGATACACTTTTTGTTAATGAAAAAATGGTAAGTATACAAGTGTGTAGGCTTGTTTTGTACAGCATACATTTGTTACTTCAAATGCGTTTTCACACTCAATTATGCACACACCCGCATATGCACGAAGCCATATGCACACGTATACGCACACAATGTTAAACTTTTCTTCTTTGTTAATGGTCCCTCGTCATTTTCTCTCGTCTAACTTGACTCTTTCAAAACTGTCCTAGAAAAACAGCAACGCAAAATTACATGTCAGATGAGGTGTATAAGAAGTATAAGAATGTTGAATTAAGAATCGACATCACAGCACTTAATACACTTCCATAACTGCTCCATAACCATCTTCAGCATCAAGTATGTGGTGCATGCCAAAAGTGGGATTGTCATCTTTAAACTGTCAACATGACGTCACACTGTTCCACTGCACTAGAACAGTAGGTGCTCAACAGTCTTGACATCCTTAAACACAGTATTCTTAGGTTACAAGACAGTGGCCTATTTATTGTAATTTCTATCACACTTTCTTTAAGCTCCCTCGTACTGCATGACGATGGTATTGTTAAACTTTATAACTAATGAGTTACTCTTAAAATATTTTGCTCTTAAAATATTTTTACTGACCTCTAACCAATCCCTTCCTGTCATCTCACATGCCCCTATTTTTTTAAACTGTATTTAGATTATCTCCGCTTGGTTGCCCATCTGTTGGTCAGTTGTCCCCCATACAGTGCTCACCCGTGGACATTTCATCATGCACGCGCCTGGACTCCTACTACATGGAGACCATCAGGTTCGGGTTCCCTGTGAGAATCACTCATGCTTGACTGACACCAACCGTCCGAATCGCGTGAAAACCCCAGTGGACCACGATAATGGGTTCTGCATCTTTACATCCCGCGCCTCAAACCCGGCTTCATTTCAAAGAAATCCCGTTGAAATAATATTTTATTTATAATTTAAATCCGATTTTGGTTATTTTGTCGGGTTATTGTTTATTTTGTTAGTCTGTGTGAACGTTTTGATATCAGTATTATGGTACAGGAATCACCCATTGGTCTTTCAAAATTAGCGTCTGACCTCACGTGACAGGTAACCGCGGTGGTGTAGTGGTTATACGCTTGCCCGTGAATACGAAAGTTGCGGGTTCAGATTCTGAAGGGACCGGACTTTTTTTTCTTTCAAAAATGACTTTTTCCTCCCAGAACGACCCAGCCTTAAATTAGTTCTAGGTAAAGTCATGGGAAGTAAAGGCGGTCGTCATTATGTTGACCGCATCCCACATCCAATGCCAATTGGTTTATCAAATATAGTCCTAGCCCTATGTGCCCAATACACCTGAAGCGTGGGAAAAGGTCCTTACTTTACGTATATGCCCAATGCATCGCTGGCATATAAACGTATATTTACTTGCCGTACATGGTACGTCAAACTATCACATTACTATCCCAAGAAACTTATCATGGGGCGCCACGACGGATTGGAAAAATTAATAGCAGAAGGCATGGTACCAGGAAGGAGGGGCAGGGGCCGACCAAAACGAAGATAAGGCACAGGATATAAGTGACACCTAAAGTGTGATAGTACATGAGGCGGGAGAACTGGTAACAGACCGAGTTTCTTTTAGACCGTGATAAGAGCGACGTTCTGCAAAGGACCTGCTACACGATGATGATGATATGGTATGTCGTAACAGGAAGAAAGTTAGAGAGGACGAGAGGTAGGTGGAGATCAAGGATCAGACCTACTGCCTTCTCAACAAGTATGTCTTAGGAGTCGACTAACTAGGGAAATCTTCTGAAGTCGGAGAACATCTGCCTGATGGGCAAGGAACACCCAACTGCACACCAAGTAATCCAGTAAAACGGATGCACAGGCCCTGGCACAAAGTCATTGTCCAAATGGATGAATAACCAAGACTTTCCCTGGCAACTCACAGCCTGTGAACAAAGAAGAGAGAGAAAAAAAGCTTCAAATAATTTACTAAATTTCACTTGTCTGTATATCCTGTTTTGACGAGCCAGACAGTTTCCAAACATTCCTGAAACCACAAAAACACAAATCACAATCCGGTGAGCCCGGACTAAACCAGGAATCCAGGAACAAGGGATCGCAGTTTCACCTCCTCACTTATCGTGTCTAGATAAGCACCATGCGGCACCTGGCCGTGGTGACACTTCTATGGTCTCAAGTAGAGCCGTTTTACAACCAGGCCACTCCAGAGTTCCCACTTCTGGGGTAGGCCTGTGAGAAACTCCTGCCCTTTGCCTCAGACAGCGTTGTCTGTTTTTATGTACGGCAATCGAGTACCTTCTCGTGGCTCTACCTGATGACCTTCTGGTTTTTGATAGAAAACAAATTACAGACAAATGTGGCTAGCGAGCTAGTTAAACTGTCATATATGATCTGCTTTGCCAGAAAAGAATACATCCGATTGCCCCCCCCCCCCCCCCCCTCCCCCCCCCCCCCCACACACACACACACACACACACACACACACAAACAAAGAGGTGAATGTTTTTATACTTTAAAAAAAATACATTATATAGTTATGCCACGGCCGGCTCCAGCTGACGGGTCGTGCTGCTGACATCACCGGGTCAGGCTAACGGTGCTTTAACGCAGCGGTTCTCAAACAGGAAATAAACTATTTTTGACAATGGCGAGGTAAACAACTTAGGAGCTTGTCGTGGTTATGCATACTTATCCGACGGCGCGTTTTTATTAGTTGATGGAAAAGCCTGTACACCTAAAAAAATTTCGATAACTCATGTACAAACGAACTGTCAACTGATTGTTTGAAGTGTAAAATATTTGTGTGTGCAATTTGAATAGTTTTATTCTTTAATTTACAAAGTATTTGAATATCAAAATTATGTTCCTTTCAATAGGTATGTACGTAGTTGTACCCCACCAGGACTTCACACAAGCGATAAACACCCGGTGACACAAACTGCCACCATGCCGATGAGAATCACCCGTGGCGAGATCCCAGAAACCCCTTTCAACCTTTAGGCTATATTTATGACCCGGTTATATTCAGGACCCCCGGCAGAAGCCAGGGTGGGACACAAAACCACAAAATTGCATCCCATGAGGGTACAACTTCATACCTTAGTTCCTTTCAATAGCTTTGTTTTTCTTGTTTGTTTTTGAGTAGTATGGAAACGAATACTGTTAAAAGTGTTAACATAAGAACCAGTGTGGGTTCCTGTGTTCTATTTTGGATAAAATAAAGAATAGGCTCACTGCCCCTTAACAAGCATGTCGTAAAAGGCCACAAATAAGGTTTGTTTCAAGTCGGAGTACATCTGCTTCAGAGGCAAAGAATCAACAGTCATACAACTAAGCCAGATCTGTAAAACGAATGTGTACATGAAATTCAGGTTTTGAAACACACGTTCTATATACAAAAAAAGTCGACAATTTTCAGTAAAGTAAAAAAGTTGAAAATTTCAACAACTGAATGCATTTAAACATTAAAGTAAACGAACACTTGTAAACGTCTCCTGAAATGAACACATTTAAAGTTTCATTAAAGACCACATTCAAACATATCTATAACACAAACATTCTAACATTTCCACAAAAACACATATAAACTTTCAAATACAAGAGCAAATTTACATTTTTCAACAAGATTATATTTAAACAGTTCAGTTGAAATAAATAAATTATTAGATACAAAAAAACACATTTCAGCTCCCCCCCCCCCTCCCCCCCCCCCCCCAAAAAAAAAAACCTAATTATACATTTCAACTAAATAACGTATTTAAACATTTTCACAAAAGAAGAACTAGAAACATATCCACAAATTTACATCTTTAAACATAGTCACAAATAAACACATTTAAACATTTCAACAACGAAAAACATTCAAACATTTAACAATAATATAGGTAAACAGTTTCACACAAAAACACATTAAAATCGTTCACAAACAGCACATAAAACATTAAAAGTAAGTGAGAGGATTGCGTGATAATATACTATAATTTTTTAGGTTTTTTTTTTAAAGTAAAAAAACAAAGATGGTGCAACTCGGGACAAAATAAAACACAGTAACGCGATTGTCAAATGTAAGGTAAGTTTCCTAAAGCAACTGTAAACAAACAATCACCGCAGATGGAACAAATACATGGCCGTATCGTTTCTGCAGCTACTTAAACACAAACAGACGGTGCATTTGTGTTCAACCCTAACACTCCAAGGATCGTAAAACCCCTCATTTAATGACCCATTCGTCCTCTCGGGCCCACAAGAGGCTCTGCTATGGTCATCCGCGGAGGCTGCGAGGTGAAGTTGAGATGAAGGTAATGATTGAGAAGGATCGCTTGGGTTTCCTCTGGGGTAGCAAAAATAAAGTAATAAAGTGCATCGGTAAAGGTGTATTTGTTGAGTGCGTGTTGTGGGGTGAAGGTATTTCAATGTGTTTGGTGCGTAAGGGTGGTGGTGGGGTAGGGGGGAGGGTGCAAGGTGAATGCAGAAATCAGACTGTGGCTGTGGTGCCTTAGAAATTGTACCATTGTAGCGTGCAGTAGTATAATAGTAAGTATTGTAAGTTAAAAAATACGGTGTCAGATATGTTGAACTGATGGATGGCTATGATACACCTTTACTTCCTTCTTTTCCTTCTGCTCTTCCTCTACCCCTTCTTCCTCCTCATTTTCTTCTTCTTCTTCTTCTTCTTCTTCTTCTTCTTCTTCTTCTTCTTCTTCTTCTTCTTCTTCTTCTTCTTCTTCTTCTTCTTCTTCTTCTTCTTCTTCTTCTTCTTCTTCTTCTTCTTCTTCTTCTTCTTCTTCTTCTTCTTCTTCTTCTTTTTCTTCTTTTTCTTCTTCTTCTTCTTCTTCTTCTTCTTCTTCTTCTTCTTCTTCTTCTTCTTCTTCTTCTTCTTCTTCTCTTCTTCTTCTTCTTATTATTATTATTATTATTATTATTATTATTATTATTATTATTATTATTATTAATATTGTTATTATTATTATTAATATTATTATTGATAATAATAATTTCATTATTATTCCTCA